TAGGATATTTTGCTCATTATTATTTCATGCAGCAGCACAAGAAAGGTGCATACAAAATTTGTATGCAAACTGTTGCGTGCCATAACTGTTGTTGACATTCTTAGTACGGGGCCATCGCATGCACTCTTAGCGATTTTTGAGTGCAACCTAACTTTCGACAGATTGCGTGAAAGATACGTCTAATACGCTCTTCGAAATGTAATTGAGAATAAATTATTGCTGCATAGTGGCACATGCAACATCGCGCTCTTATCGTGCTATTCGGCGTTATTTTCTCAAGTGAGTATTCACATGGTAAGGAAGGCTTTACAGGGTGTCCCACATAAATTGAGCCAAGAATTTCAACATGAAAGACACTTCAGTGGTGCATTGAACCAAACGCGTACTACTTGAAATAGCCTGTAGGCACTCATGCTATTTTTTATTTCTCCCCATACGAATAAATAATATTCCTTAATTACATAATTTTTATTACGAGCTGGCAAACCGAAATACGAAAATTGAGATGTAAAGCATTTTCATAAACCACCGAATAAGTTGTTTCCTGTATCTAGCACTGTTATTTTTTCAGCGTTGTAAAAAAAGCATATAGTGGCACTATAGCAGTGCACTCGCGGTCCGTCACACGGCTTCTTTACACATATCACGAGGCAGATCTTTTCATTCATATATTTTGTAAAATTTTGGAAACACGCCTCACTGCGACAGATTCAGAATTCTCTGCTATAGTTCATAATCCTGAGCAGAATTCATATTTCGGTAAAGTTTGATACTTCCAACCTACTAAACAGGGCTTATTAAGTAGGACAGAAAGGAAAATTTATTGCGTGTCCTTGTTTGCGGAATAGAGAGAGGCGGGGGGGGGGGGGCGACTTGGTTCAGTGGTGCCCTATTTTACAAGGCGGCGCAATCTATTATTACCATGACCTTACGTCTCGGTTTATTGGACCACCATTGGACCTTGAGTCTTGGCGGCAACGACGGCCCGTTCAAGAGCCGAGTCGGGGTCCTCCGGGCATGAGCTGAGCAGAATATACTACCGCTGCTAGGGCTGCATGACCTTCAATGTAGACTGGTGCTATGTCTGAAGGTGTATGCGGCTGCGAGACACGCCGAGCTAACCAGGTGAAGGTCAGCGCGAGTCGTCCGGCGTGAACCACTGTGAATATTCAACAACATTATTAGCAACATTGTTGTTGTTGTTGTTGTTTTAACTGTTTTGCTGTGGAGAGGTTGAGGAGCCTATTGCCTCGGCTACTCCATATCGCAGAGTTCTGCAGCGAAAAATAAAAAATAATACAGAACGGTACCCAAAAACATATTGAAAATAACGGACCTAAGCTGTACTCTTGGCGGAAACCAGTGGTTGATTCGTAAGGCAATGAGCACGTCGTACCAGCACGAGTGTAATTAAACCGCGAAATCACAAAATCTTGAATAGGCGTGCATAGGGTATTTCCGAATCAATACGGGCTGATCTGTGGCCATGATAGTTTTTTTTATTACAAAAATGCATTTGTTTCATAGATACGGCTGCTTTTATTCATCCCATATTTAGTCTTGAAATATTTGTTTTTTCGTTCATAGTAGTGAGCAATGATTTGGTAATAACGAGCACGCATTATTGCTCTTACCAACGCCTACAGCTGTACATTAACATTTGTAGCTTGTGACTTATACAGGAAGAATTGGTAGCCATCTTTCAAATTGCACCTTTCCCAGCCGTATTTCCAGTACCCCCCAACGTAACGAATAAATCGTAAAAAATGTATAACAGTGGTTATTAGCGCCAGTTGCTATGGCTACGCGCATGGGTGCCGATTGTCTTGTACGAGGCTTCCGAAAAAGAAATAAGTAGCATATCGAAAAGAGGAAGGAAACTTCCCCTGACTTAGCAACCACATACTCTAAGTAACAGAGAAAAAAATCACAGCCTGTTCTTCTATCGGGCAAAGCCCACAACTACAAGTGAAACTCCCAGATGGATGCAGCACCTGTCACATTGCACGCAGAAAAGGTGGTCGAGTTATATGCACGCTAGAGACACAAGTTGCTGTGGGTCAAACAGAAGCTAGCATTACTGGATGCGTCATCGTCACCATGACATCGGCTGCAAGCATTTCTGCACATTTCCTGCCTATGAAAAATAGCCCTGCACACAGGTCGTTCTATTTCGCGCAAAACTTTGAATGTGAAATACAACTGCGTGAGTCTCTTTGTAGGCCGTTGCTGTGGCCCGTTTCTACATGATCTTGGTCCACTCGATCACTTCGCATTGAATTATATTCATGCTTTGAAAGAGTAGACGACCGTGGCTTGTCTTTGCTTTTGTTAATCGCTGTAATACACACCGCATTGTATGTCTTGCTCTTGATTTTTTGTCATTTCTGCAGGCTAAGCAAAAAGGAGTTAATGGCAAACTGACGAGTTTATTCTAAGCCACAGTGGCCTTATTTTTACGTGGTCGAAATTCAACGAGCGCCTGACTTTTAACTAAATAAAATCATCAGGGAATTGAATGTACCCCATTTATTCATAAGCCTGGTGACCAACTTTCTGGGACTCGATTTCTCCTCTCAGTACCAGACATTTAATGCCAGTTAATAAAAAGCGTAGTTTCATGTTGCATTGACACTTTCTTCGTTCGAAACGCGTTCCCACACCACACTGATATGAGCTCAGAAATCTAAGCCTACTTTTGCGGAACTAACAGTGGTGACCTCTTCGGGTGATAATATTACGACGCAGCTATAGATTAACCCAAACAAGACAGAAGGTGAAGGAAAAATGGAAGCTTGAAGAGAAGACAAATTCCTGAATGTATTCAAGAGTTCTACTTCTCTTCAAGAGCAGATAAAATAGCGAAATAGCCTTATAAGGCTATTTCGCGTTTTTGTCTGCTCTTCAAAGCAGAAAATTGCCTTCTTAGCTCCTTCAGGCACAAATTAATACGTGTATTTCATCAATGTGTCAAATTCACTAATTAAGAAGCACTCAATTTTTCACTCTAAGAATAAAACTGAAGTAATGTGTTGTGCGTGTTCCAGTAATTGATTGCAATCAGCATGTAACTATAACTTCAATATTGCGCATCTAGTCATGTTTCATTCTGTCATTAAAAGAGTTGAATCATAGGCTCCTTATGTATCCCCGAGAAGCTGAAATCATGTCACGCCGAGAAACGTAATAGTTTTAACGTTGGTTTTCGAACGTGGCACGCCGAACGGCCTATTGAACATTTTAGCACCTTCATCAGAGTGATCGGCACTGGTTATGTACAGAAACACTGCAGTCAAGGCATATTGACTTTAAAAAAGGTTCATTTTGTCTAACGGGCAGTGTGTATTTTTATTTTTGCCAGAAGTTCGTACCATTAGCATAAAAAGCAGCGTACACATGCATCCTCCGAGCCGCTGAAGGGTTTAGCAGTTAGCACCATGTACGTGTATATGACTTAGTGTCTCCTTCTGAACCGAAGAAAGGGAGCAGGTGAAGAGATCGTTTCGAAAAATATCAGACCGTTTCGTGAAACTTAGCTTCCAGCGACACCCCCTGCTGACAGATTTTTCATCATGAAAATTAACTTACACGATTGAGGCGGGCTGCGTTGTGAATGCCATAGTTCTCGCACAGATGTTGATGCACGCCTTGTAGATCATTGCTCTATAGCCGAGTTTGCAGCACAAAACGGCCTTTTTTTTCGGTTGATGTTGCACCAGTAGCTAAAGTAATAAGACACGTGAGTACCCCTGTTTGTGGCGAAGGCTTATTTAGGGTTTTGTCTGACAAAGCCAAATAGACTATACTCTAAGCTTTGTGGTCGGTAGGAATCTGATGAATGACTCCCCTGCCAGCATTAGATGAATTCAAGATTTAACACGCTGCGTAACATGTGCAATAATTCATTTTCATGGTTTTGATTCGATGGCAGGCGTCAGCTCATTCTGAATCCTGTGCCTTTTGTAGAAGAGTTGCGTGCTGAGTGGATGCCATATCAGCCCTGTAGATGGTGTGTGAGCCTGCCATTAAACTGGCCGTGTATTTGAGCTTCGAAAGGCAAGCGTCAGCAATATGAACACCTTCGTATCAAATGCCTTCGATACGAAGGTATTCTGCCGAGGTGTTTGCGATCGAAGTAGCTTTCTTCAAGGATGATACGTGCCTTACCATATATTCACACAATCTAGATACATTTGTCTTAATTGACAGGTTTGGTGGGGGGTAGCTCTTTTCCCTCTGTGTTATGATTGAGAATTTCAGTTTGTTTTGTTATTACGTTCACTTCCGAATGGTATTAGGTTAAACTGTGTGGCGACAAAATGGAGGCACTAAATTTAATTATGTCGAATGAGGTCATCAGTTGCACAGGAAGTTTTGTAGTGCCCTACAGGGATGTTTCTGCATTTCAGAAGAAAGAAAAAAAACTTTTTTACGGTAGTGCTTGGAAAACGAGTCCACACCCCCTTGGTTCTAATGGGCATTCAATCACTGGACGATGTGAACATTTCTGAAAAGTTATTTGCGGTTAATGACAAGGCACCATGGTGTCATTTGTGAGGAGTTCAAATCACATTCGTTGTAAACATAATATCTACGATTTTACGTCCTTAAACGACGATATTAATATGACACATGTCATAGTGGAGATTCATGAAAATTTCAACACCCTGGGCTCCTATAGCGTGCGCCAAACTCTAAGTACACAGTACCGCACCATTACACCTCCATGGAAATGTGACCGTCGCACCCGGAATCGAAGGCGCGTCATTCATGTCAGCAGATAACAACGGCGCCGCCATGGAGGCCCATTGGTCTTATAGCTAGGTACAATTCTGTGCACCCCGAAAAAGGTGGTAGGCGAATATTTGACAAGTTCAGCACATCTTTGCAGTAATATGGTGATTTCTAGCCGTCTCCTGTAGTACAATTTGATCGCTCGCTGTATTTTTAAAAAATCACTTAAACTTTTTCTTAACAATTTTTCCATCTTCTTTTTTTAGGCAGTCCTTTATCTGAGCGGTGAGAACTTGTTAAGGTAAGCTTAATTTTCACATGACATTCAAGCTGTCCGAACGCACGCGTAAACGCTTGTGTATTTTTGCAGCACGGCCCACAACAGTAATCGCACCGAACCATCGCCTGGTCAAGACTTCAAACACTGATAACCAGGCAGGACTTGGCTGTAGAGTTTGAAAATTTTGGTCAAAAGCACAGAAAGAACAAAAAATACGATAACAGAAGGCAAGACCTAAAATGTCGAGAGTTAGAACTCTAACCGCAACAGCTCTAGCAAAGGAAACAGAGCAATGTCATTCACACCAAGAAAAGACCTTAACCCTGTCCACGGCGGAGAGCATCTCCTTGTTCGATTGGATGCGCATATTCTTGGGCCATGTTTGCTTTTGCCTGATTGGATTATCCGGAATACTGATTTTTCCGGCACTGGCTCTTAGTCTGCGCGTACGAGAAATATTTTTCGCCTTCATCTACCTGGTGATGCAGCGCCTCTGGTACGACGACTATGGCTCTGTGCGGCGCGTGGTCATGACCGGACTTGATAATATTGTGTCTCAAGACGCTTCACTGAGAGCACAAGGAGCTGTGCGTGTTCTTGAAGTCGGCGCTGCTTACGGACCGAACATGCCCTATATACACCGCAAGTGTGAGTACTGGAGACTGGAGCCAAACGTCAGCTTCGATCCAGAATTTCAGAAGAACCTGGCTGCAAACAAGAAGGTAATACATTTACTTACTCATTTTGGCATATTCACAGCATCATTGTATTCTTCTTGGCCCTTTAAAATCTCTCAACACTCAACTAATTAGTGTGGCTACCCCCCATGTGATGACCAGTGCATACAAATTTGTTTACTGGTCCCAACGAAAAGCACTTCAAAACATCGTTGCTCACATTAAAGCACAATCATGGAAACAGTGTCATGTGCACTACATTGATCTTAAATCGCGCTCCTGAGAGTGTGACTGCATGCTTACAGGTTCGGATGTCTTAAATTAGGGTGCTTTGCAAGTTATATTTCAAATTTAATTTTTATGCACATGCAAAATTTCCTCGTGAGCAGCGGTGCTTTTCAGGTTACCCTCTTGAATCAACCTAATGCCTATGCGTATAAACATAAAAACAATTTTCATCAGATTCAGTTCAAGCTGCAGCCAATGGTTGTAAGCTAAGCTACGGTAAAGTTTCGTCGCACACTGAAACGTAGCATCTAAGGTTTGGTTGTGTACGGCTTAATGCAACTGCAATTACTGCATTTAAAAATTTCACGGCTCTGGCAGTCCCAGAACCGTGGTGAGATTACGACACATTGCCCAGAGAATGGCACCAGTAATTTAGCTCACACAGGGTCCTTTAACGTGCTCCTAAATCTAAGTACTTTTGGCATAAAATGAAACGGTAACGGCAGTAAGCCTTACCAGTGGCCTAAACCACGCACTCTAGTAATCGTCACTGCATCAGTACACAGCTAGTTTGGCAGTACTGCGCAAAAGCGTGCAGGTCCATGGCGATGTCTGGACTGCGCGTGCACACTATATACGCCATTGTGAATGCTTGCCGCTATTGGAGTTCGATTTGATGCCGATAGTGCCTGACCTAGAGCATCCTTGCCTTCATCTAAGATGCGGTAACTACGGCAGAGATTTGAACCCATCACCTGTGGGACACCAGTTCACACCTTCTCGACAACTCGGACGTCTGCCATTTATTCGTTTCTTCACACACACACAACGCACACACACACGCACGCACGCACACACACACACGCACGCACGCACGCACGCACACACGAACACACACATGCGCGCACGCACGCACGCACACACACACACACAGAGAGAGAGAGAGAGAGAGAAGATATATATGGCGTTGCCAAAGTGAATGTCATGAAACTATGGATCGATACCTGTTCTCAATTGCTGTCAGGTCTCCCGATGGCGACAAATGTTGCGCTGCCGTTTTTTATTTTTCACACGTCCACGTTTCAACAGTATTGGCGCTGTGACAATTTCCACACTCTTTGCATTTGCGGGCGCTCTATGATTAATTGACAGAGTATGTTTTGCACCCGATGATGTCAGAAATGTTCGGCAGTCTTTTTTAGATATACCAGACGTTCAAGCCTTCTGTCATGTCACTGTCGGCATTTTGATTGATTGATTGATTTGTGGGGTTTAACGTCCTAAAACCACCATATGATTATGAGGGACGCCGTAGTGGAGGGCTCCGGAAATTTTGACCACCTGGGGTTCTTTAACGTGCACCTGTCGGCATTTTGTCGAAGGTCCAGGAAGCTCAGATCTTTAAGACGCATGACTTTGTAGTAGACTGTGTGCGAGAACTCAATTCGTTCTCTGCGGTAATGTTGCGGCTGGCCGACTTGCCATACAGCTCTATAAACTTCGTTTGCATTGTGTAGTATGTACTCTATACGACACCGTAACAATGTGACACCACATCTGAAATGATGTTGCCTTGTGCGCACCCTGTTATTATCACTATGGCTTTTATAAATGCTTTGAGTTGTTTTGTGGTAATGGTCACATATATTCCTTGCAATAGGCGCGTTTCTTAAGCCGTTCTTGGAAACAGACGTAGGTCTGCTTGATCGGTTGTGATAAGCTAGCAACAGGTAGTGCCCCCTAGAGATGTCGTTCCCAATTATAGGACACACAAGCAATCGGCATGGTGTGTGACCGATGGCGGTGCTGCGAACCGCTTTTGTATGACGTCAGTTCGAAGATTCGTGCGCTTTCGAGGCGCGGCGCCGTATAGAAACGACCGTTGCCATAAAACTCGAAAAATGCGGAGTTTAGTTGGCTATCTTGTGCATGGTGGCTACCTACGCTGTTCTGACAACCATGTGTGTTTGCCTTTAACGCTCATTTGAAAATCACAGCTCTTCGTTTTTTAAAAAATCCGGCCACCTGTCTTCGCGGTGAGTGCTGCGCAATGGTGGAGTACTCCTTCGTGCCTCTCTATCATCAGCCCCCCCCCCCCCCTGAAAAGGCCATTAGTTTCCCAAGTTTCCCAAGGCCAACTATCCCAAGTACTCGAAGCTGAAGAAGTAAATAGTCAAACTAGGATAGTCAAGATACGAAAAGCGCCACACGCTTTCATGGACCGTGTGCAGCAAGCACTTCGCTTGCAGTGCGTTCTGCTATACCCGCCGTACACTGCACTTATCAGTAAGCTTGCAACCGTGTTTCAGGCGCCTCGCCAGTACTTTAACTATTCATTGCACGCAGGCTACAGGCGTGGGCGACTCACATCAGATTATGTGCCGTCCCATCTTACCGTGAAGGCACCAAGACAGGGAGCCGACGACGCGGCCTCCGAATCACCTTTGGTATAAGCGCGCCTCGTGAGCGCAGCTGAGTAACGCAGGACATTTGAGACTACAGTTTATTAGCTTCGTGTACGTACATATATACGTAGTTTACTGATCAAGACAAGTGGGCCCCCAGGGCGCTGCTAACCATAAATTGATAAGCGAATCCTGCTTTGCTGGTTAGTGCACAATCACTAAAGGCTGTCACGTAATCATTGTGGTGACGTGCACGGTATATCTTGTTAAATTCTGATACCTGTTCTACGGCCCCATGCTGACTTAATACAAATTACTTCATGATATCACTCCAATTGAACAAAGACAACTGAGACAAACTGCAGTCATTTGCATCGGCCAGGGAGTGCCTTAAGGTGGAATTTGCCCCCTTCTCGAGTCAAACCAGCACCTCAACTCGTCTTTTACTGCTATACAACGCGTGCTTGCGCCCTGCCGACGCCCACAATCGCAATCCAAGCACAATTATGTGAAACGTGGGACTTTGATGCTGTTTTGCCTTTCTAGTAGAGGCCAAGAACGGTCGATTCACTGCCAAAGCAGCAATTCAAACAGCTGCTCTCAATTGTTGTTTGGGAATGCTATAGAGTGGCGGGAATCAGCGATTCTCATATATATCCTCGTGTTCACTCTCACTATTATTGCACGACAGAAAAACAATATCCTTAGAAAAAAAAGGGCAGGCGTGCCCTTCTCTTTAGCACTTTTGTGAAAGCTAACGTTCTCTTCACGGGTTAACGAAGCACAGTGAGGCACAGGGCAGAACTTCACCATTGGGCAGCACTGGATCGCCACGAGGACATTGTGTGGCTGGTGCGCAAGTGCACATGTTTGCAGGACGAGAGCTGCGACGGTGATGCGATCATCATTGAGGCCATCAGCTCCGCAAATTCATCAACGTGGCCTGCGTCGTACAACACCGTGCCGTCGATGAGACACCGCGACGTTTCTTTAGCTGTAGCTACATGCTTGTAGATGTTGTACAAGGTATGCTTATTGAAAGTTTGAAACAACCGAACTAAATATCGTGCGGTGGAAACTGCAGATGTCGAGCGAGAACACCCACACATTGTCTCACTATCTGATCAGCAATACGGTCGGTGGCCTCGGCGTGCTTATCGGCCATCTGGGAGGTATCTTGGCCCTATCAATTCGGCTGCAACAAAAACAAATTCATAATTGCACTCGAAAACATTTGTTGTGGGCGCTAGTTCACCCTTCCGAGGCTGATCATTCGACAAAGTTGCCGCCAGAAGCAGACAATCCGCGCACAGTGAGCAGTGGCTGCTGCAGTGCGTTGAGAGCGAAGTTCGCAAGCTGACGTCACATGCGAGAGGGCGCCACTCCAAGATCTCGAGGCCTATACGACATGGCAAAACACTCATTCAACTCATTTAAAAAGCTGCACAGTATATTTCACTAGTTTGCGCACATATTAGCTAGCGAGCTGTTTAGCATTCCTATTTCGGTCTTTATGTGTAAAAAAAAAACGCATGTACGTCATGAAGTTCCCTCGTAGCGTGTGTTGCGCTTTGCCTACATGCTAGTTTGCTTCCTCGCAGGTAGAGCTGGTGCGGACTATTCGAGGGTATGGTGAGAACATGCACATGCTACAGGATGGCCACTTCGACGCTGTCATTCTTACGTATGTCTTGTGTACTGCGAAGGATGGCGAGAAGCTCCTAAGCGAAATCAAGCGCGTTCTTCGAAAGGTAAGAAAAACTTTGAACTAGTGTCCCCATTTATTACCACGGTAGCCGCTGAAGTACTAAGCTAATATCTGCAAAGGTGAAGTGCGCTAACAAAGTGTTAAGGTTTTTGGTAAAAAGGAGATATTGTGTTCTGAAATCTGTATTGCAAGTGTAGATTGGACCCCTAAATATTTATTTCGGACGACAAAGTTAGCAAGGCTTTTTTGCAGTGAGAAGGAAAAAATGTGAGAAGCATAAGAAGGTAACAAGTAGATAAATTTTTAGAAAGCTAATTATCCACGTAAGTATGTTTTTATTTTGTGGTAATTAATAAATGGTTCTTTCTTGTGACTACAAATACTGAGCAATGCGGTAGCCACACATTTCATTTGTCTTACGCAAAGGTGGCACGCGGATATCAATGCAATACCTTCACCGAAAAAAAAAAAGAAGACAAGAAGGTATGACACAGCTTCCAAAGCCCAAGAAAGTGGCGTGGTAGCAAAAAGTGTTGGTCATTGTTCATTTTCCCTGGCGTTACGAGTGAACACTTTGAGGGCACCTGCAGCATGCGCAGTTTTCTTAGGCACTGCAATAAGCTAGATATATTTTGGAGGCTTTCTGTATTAGATTTAATCGGATATTTGTGAGTACACTTCCCTTGGTCTCTTATGCTAAGGCAAAGAAAAGTGCATCTGAAGTGGCATGGTAGTTCCCAGCTTTAACGGTGGCATCAGTTTCTTCTTTTCGAGGGTCCTGCGTGTGCGTGGGCGTTGACATCATTTCCGTAAGCACATGTTCAATTGGGGTCTGGCGCTCGTCCTGTCTATGCGACTCCTCGTTATGTAGGTGTCACCTTGTGCTTGTTAACATAATTAAAGATTCACTACTTGCGATGGCATCGCCACCAATTTATCGTTTAAGGAGAAATTCAACACTCTCTTGGAGAAAACACCTGTACGGACCATCGATATCCACGGCTGGTAATCAAAAAATCAGTGAAATGCGAGAACACTGGTGCAGGGCCTCGATACCAGATATACTTGGTGTACTAACTGCTCACTGCTTTCGAGTAACCAGTTGGGGCTGTAGGCGCGCTTCATCGCGACAAACACTTCATTGCGACATGTGCGGCTAGCTCAGCCACGCGATGGCATACTGCCTATGCCTAGCACGCTGCTCCAGCTATGGGGGCTCACTTTGTGCATGGCATTGCGGAGCAGTGCAGAAATTTTCGTGGCCCTCACAAGATGCGAGAGAGTTCGTGCCACTAATGGCAGCAAAAGTGTCGTTTCCAGACGCTGCGACGTGTGCTCTCAACCAACCTGTGGTTGCAACAGGTAAACATAGGGGAAAACAAAGTGTAAGTGCATGTCTGCAACTCGCACACACGCAAGAAATGTTGGTGGGTGTCATAATCTATAAGCTCGACACGCACAAAATGAGGAGGACCAAAAAACATGAGTGGCACACAAGCGCTGACTTTCAATGTTATTTCGCTGCTTTTATGCCCCTGTTCCGGCGTTCCTTAGAGTCACGTCTTCTGTTTCGCTGGCGTCAATAAAGTGTTGAAGGTTAGTGCCTGTGTGTCATGCGTGTTTTTTGGTCCTTGTTATTTTGTGCGTTTGGATTTTAATATTCATGTGAACACACCGAAACTGCGAAAATTGTGGACGTCGGAAATCAACGCTAAAAAGCACATAAAAACACGTCGAACTTGAACCGCTGGCCTCGTGTCAACTCACTACAAGCACAGAGTGTCGCCATGACCTCAATAAACGCGTTGATATGGTCCTCAGAGTCAGAAGCGTGAACTATTTCTGTGAATTTGGGCACTCAACGCCCGCGCATGGATGCGCTGAACTGGTCAACCTCCTACCTAACCTTAGATTTCTGAACTGAGAGCCAGAGTGCCTTGTTTTGCCTTGGAATGTTCAGTCTCTTAAAGCACGTCACGCACAACTGTGGGCATTTCTTACGACAGAGACACGCGACATTTAAATTTGTACACAGCAAGGGGGAACCTCATATATGCCTCGTAGGGGAAACCTCATACTTGGGCCATCGATTGGGCCATCAAGATGGTCCTGAAGCACCCGAAGACACAGAATGCATCATGACACCGACTGAATGGGCTTGATCGTGCCATGGGCATCGCAAGAGGAATTTCCAACAGTATGTTCCGAAATTTCTCTTGCGAACCAGAAATATAAATGCTTGAAAAAAGCACGGAAATATCATATACGTGAAAGTATTACCAGCACTTTGTTAAGTCTTTGATCTTTCCTACGCTAATAAAGCAGCAGATATAGTACGGCTTTCTAAGTCGGCCTTCACAGGCACAAACGTGAACCGCTACATCCAACGATACAAGACCCTATGATAGTTTTGAGGTATTCGACAAGCACATCGAAAATTAACCGAAGAATGCGCCAGACCAGATTGTCAAAACTCTATTTCAAACAAAAAAATTAGAAACTGTGAAGCAGCAGCTTAGGAAAATGTTGAATGACAAAATCATCTAGCCGTTGAAAAGTCTGTGGGATTGAATAATAATCTTGGTAAAAGAAAACGTGACACGCAACCTTGCGTTCCTGCATCTATTGCGCTATAGATTGAAGTAAATCAAGAACAGGCGCTTGCTTCGCCCCACAAAATGATGGCTTCTCGGACTGGCTGCGTAATGTAGTTGTAAAGAATGTGAAGGCTGCGTTTTGAAAACTCTAATTCGGTGAGAAGACACGAGTAAAAGCTCCGTTTACCACGCAATGTCCAATTTCCTGCCATTTGTGCTTTGACAGGCACTTGGTCGGCTTAACCGTGTTATGCACAGGGCGTTGGCCTGAAACGATATACATAGCTCGCATATCTGGGTCATTTTGTCGTCTCTACCACAACCTTTTTCGGACACCTAAGGTGCCGTGAAGCTGTACTGCAGGCTATCCGGTAAACGGAAGCTTTGCGAAGGCCATATTTTGTGCAAAGATATTGCGCAAGTTCTAAGTGCCATATCGTGTTAAGAAGACTCCTGCTCTTGTGCCATGCCGTCAGTAAGTTAAAAGATACTCCTGAATAGCAAGAGGTGGCTGTTATTCCCAACATCCTACAGCCCACATAAAAAACTGAAATTTCTGGGTGGGTGCGCTTACTAAAGGCTGCTTTTCAGACACTTTCGGCATTACCTTGGCACTCGTGTATGTTATGAAATAAGAGGCTGAGTGCTGGAAGAAAACGCCGTTGGTCCATGGGCCTGAAGAAATAAAATAACACTTGGAGACCCCGCCAATGTTGGCGTACTTGGTTGAAGATAGACATACAGAAACGCACGCCAACGCCAACTACGTAAAACTCAGGGCTTTGCAAAGCCCGGAGAGATTACGAAGAGCGACCGCATGCACTCAATGGTTGCCCTCGAAAATTGAAGTAAATCTATTCCACTGTGACAGAAGAAGGTCTTTCTACCATTAGGAAGACATCAATGTTTCACTTCCATGAAGGCGGAAATGTTATAGGCCCGTGTACTCAGATTTGGGTGCACGTTGAAGAACCCCAGGTGGTCGAAATTTCCGGAGCCCTCCACTACGGCGTCTCTCATAATCATATGGTGGTTTTGGGACGTTAAACCCCACAAATCACTTCCATGTACATGGGAACGCTCTGAAAGTCACATGCAACTATCTCTCCTTGGCGTAAGTTAAAGAATTTGAGGGGCCTTCCAGGTCACCCCAAACACTGAAGTCTTAAACTATAGAAGCTGTAGACCATTGCAGCACACAGGCGCGTACACGCGATAAGCCAAAGTAGGGAGAGGACGCCCTTTCTAAACCTATAATAAAGAGCGCAAATTCTACCTCATAACTTTACTCAATGTAACATTTCGTGATATTTTTATATGCGCAGCATTAGGAATATTTACGTTATTTAACAATGATAACGAGCTAAGACTCGTGATGTGTGATTAAAAACATTTCCTTTCGCGCCTTTTGCCCGAGAAAGCAGCGACCAGTGTTTGTGAAGAGCACGTCATCGTATCATTTTCGTTTTTTCCATCCAATGCGCAACTTGTTTCCATTCGGACTCCACCAAAAATAGGACACTGTCATGAGGCCTGCCCTCCCTCTCCCCCTGAAGAACTCTCTGAACGCGTATGTCATTGTTGGCAAAATGCTTCGATAGCCTCATACAATACGGCACTGCAAGAAACAATGCACACCACAGCGTCCACACTAGTTTAAAATAGCGGACCGGCAACAGTTCTGCACAGCGACAAGCACACGTTTGAAGGACTGTCAGGTGACTATCAGATCCGCGCTGATTCTCACAAAGAAAAGCAGTGCTCCCTCTTAGGCGCATGCACCAAATGTAACAGCGCATCAAAACCAGGAAAAGTACCCGTCTGAGCATGACGGAGTACCGGATGACGACCGCCATCATTACACACTTCGACGACACTAAAACAACGGCCTCCGCAACCACATTTGGGTTTGACACTATTGGGTTGACGTGACGTGGTCTTAGTGGAATACGTGGACACCATTTTGGGCCATACGATGCACTCGACAAGAGGTTGTTTCGAAGTCATTACTCACAATCAGCGGCGTTAGGCAAGATCCCAGGTCATTCTTGTAGTACGCTGAAAGCCATGCAAGGGCGATAGCGAAAATTTGGAGCTTCATTTTTTTGTGCCTCGTGTTGTACTTTCATGTGATATACTTTTGGTTGTTTTCTATCTAATTTCGCTTGAGGTGTCGAAAACCATGACAAATACGGGGTTTTTCATGCGTACTTGTTCATCAGGTCCTCATGTCCATAAGCGATTAGAAACTCAACGGAGGTACATTCCGGTACAAACCACGTATTACTGAGCGGGAAACATTGTGGCTGTTTTCGAATGCTCCATAATATTACGTGATGAGAGTAGAGTTTGTTTCAAAACTAACGCCACCACTATAGCTACCGGAAATATCAAATGTACAATTGGTATACGAGTAAAGGCCGACGCATTTCCACGCTAATCATATGGTCGAAGACCGGCGAGTGAACTCACCGCGATCAATATACTGAGAGCTAATTGTGATAGTTTTATTGTTGCTTTTACGGTGAGCGTATTTGAGGTCACCCAGTAAACCATTCAGTCCATAGCTACGTGATAGCTGCATGCTGCACTGTCGCAACAGCATGACAATAAATGTGACGAAAATGCTCCAGATAAACTGCCAGTGTACAATCGTTCCTTCTCATGTCCTGTTTTAAAGATTCACGCTATTGTGGTGCCACAGCCGTGACAACTGATATCACTCAATAATATTGTATGTTTTTGATGTGCTTATTTTGTTACCAGGCTGTTTTTATTTTTCATGTCTAGTGTTTATCAGAAGGGGCACAGTCCTGCTCATACCAACGCGTGTCCTAATAATAATGTTCAGGTAGTTATGGCATTTGCGTGTATCCCCGTTGTGCCATTCAAATTTTAGGGGCAAAGCACCTTTGTGTCTAGTCTTGACCTTTGGCCATGCTCATGGTCATCACTATAATGATGCTGATGGGCTTGTTCATTGCTGTGTGTTGTGCTGCTCAGGGTGACGATAACGCTTATGACAATGAAGAATAAGTGCTTTCCGGGACACACGTTTTTTTCATCGAGAATAAACACGTACGTGAACGCACTCTGAACGGAGGAAGGCAACGCCGATGCAGGCAACAAGCTACGACGCAGTGAGAGCGCACAAAGCAGCGGTAAAGTGGCAACGGCGACAACAAGGTGCAACCCCAGAGTTAAGGGTGCGGAAATGGCGGCTCTACCGGAAAAAAAGACATTGGTTATACTGGCCAAACATGGTGTCACTGATTTACATGCGTGAGCTTACTATGTTAAGGGTGATCTACAGCAAGAACGATCCCCAGTGCGTCACCAACTCGTCATGACTCACTTCGAGGAGATAAGCGGATTTTAAAGACCATAGTCGTTCTTAATTTCAAGGCAGAAATTTTACTGTGCGTGCGCGCGCGCGTACTTCTGTCACCCGAGTCAGTAGAATGGCGAGAGTTTACTCCCCTGCTAAGCGACCAGCTATTTTGATCTGGTTTCTGCGTTCAACCTTACTCACTCTTTCAATAAAAAACAAATAATATGCATACTATGGCATAAAATAAGTACGCAGACATTAGGCATTATGTTTATTTCTAAAATGTGTAGATGAGTAGCCACAAAGAGCGCAGTATTATGCGGCGCTGCCAGTCCGAAACTATCTACGAAAAAAACGGGTGTTTCCTGCGCTTCACTAAAACTAGAGCTACTCTATATGATACCTTTAGGTAGCAGAGTTGCGCCACTGATGGGACTCGCCGCTCGTGCCCCCATTTGCCAAGCGCGCTCACCTGCACAAAAAAACTTAATACTTCCTTTTTGGGAAAGGCCAACTTTACGACCACGCGAGTGCTTGCGAACGCCGCGCCACTAGCGCCACCCCCACCACTGCTCAAGCAGTCCAGCAAGGCGATCCCGTTGAGTGCGGAAGTACTTTTTCGTCGGTGTTCTGATTCTGTCCTGTGTTGTCTGTTTTAAGTGGACGACAGTGTTAGAGGTGTCTGTGCAGTGCCGTGACTTAGTGATGCGTAGTTGCCACGATGACCGCATCCCGCTGCTACGCATATGCATGCCGAAAATTCTCGTTTGCTTGCGTTATTGTAAAACACAGAGGGAAGGGTCTAGCGATTGTTTTATTGAGCCATCTGCCTAATCGTTTAAAGCGGTGAAAACTATGCAAAACGAGCTATTTGCGGAACTTAAGTTGTCGCAATTCATGTACATGATTCTCGACAAATTAAGTCAATACTTTCCTGCATGTATTACACGTCTCAGTGGGCAAGATGATGGACATATGCGTAGCTCTTCTACGTAAAGATAGCATACACAGTAACTCTAACTGAAACTACATCGTGCTCTCACCTACCACTTACTTTGCGCTCAAGAAAAACTTCCTTTCTTCAAATAACTGAAAGATGGTCTCTATATCTCACGCAGCACCTACTCACCAATTTTTGCCCGCAGAACGTCAAATAAAGGCCTTATTCTCTCTGTACATACAGAATATCATCGTCTTTTGACGACCTTTACCCCTGGACCACGCAGATACGACGCCGCTTTTCTGTTTCGTGGTTGTTTACTTCAAATCATGGACTGCCACCTAGCGCAACCTTGTTTTTCGCACAATATTGAGCAGTTGTCGTAAACATTCGAGGAAAGAGAAGGGCTGAGTATAGTAGAACTCTCTCGCACACCGTGCCCGTCCTTAATGAAGTGGTACCAGGAATCGTCATTACTTTGTATGTCGATATACTTGCAGCACTACCCGGGTATGCTCATTGGATGATCAGCTGTTCCCGCTCTAGCACTGAAGAATATCTGACAAACATCAAACTTGTGCCAGGAACTCAATTCAATACGCATTAGCGCAGGCCACCTAAAGCTAAACACATTGGCGAAATCCAATTTCGGTAGAATTCTAAAGATTGCTTTTGCACGATCTTGATGCACAATACTTCCATGAAAAACAGGATTGCCTTACTTTTGGCATGCAGGGTGGCCGTCTGCTGTTTGCCGAGCACGTTGGACACCCGAAAGGTACCCGAGCAAGGTTCCTTCAGGACACCCTGGCACCCCTCGTCCAGTATTTCACTGGCGGCTGCTACATGAACCGAGACAGTGGCGTCCTTTTAGCAAAAGCCGGTTTCTCTGAGATTAAGGTGAACGATGTCGACATTAACATTCCCTGCGAGTACAGCTACCACGTCTACGGCTACGCAACTGTGTAGCCGAGTCATACTTCAAACTCAGCTCAATTTTGATACCCCAGAGTCTTCCGCAAGGTATACGTGGTGAAGCCTGTATGGAAGCACTTCTGAAGCAAATAATGAACCAGTAATAACTTTTGTGCCTCCTGGCCATCAGTGAGGCACTGGTGTAGTGCATCATCTTCCTCATTTCGCTGCATGTGTAAAACTCTCCCTGCCGGAGAGGTGTATATACGGAATATTCAAAATAGAACCTTACAGAGATCTGTGCCTATAAAAAGCACATTGTGATCATTTTACTGTGCTTGCTGTGTTATTCACTATGATGTCGTTTGTCTCGGCCCTGTCTGATTAAACGATATTGCCTAATGAGCAGTACTCACACGTTCGGGACAAAGACGTACACAGGGTCACACTATCCGAACCAAGTCACACACAAAAGTGTCTGACCCACTGGTATAATAAATGGGCAGGTCCACAACACTGTGAGAAAGCATTTTAGTTATTCCTAAAAATAGCTTGGCACAAAGTTAAATTTCTCGTCCTGAAAGTACAGATGACAAAGGGTAGGAAAAATAGTCGATTGTGCATTGTCTCACAACAAGGGCGAAGGAATCAATGCTACAGCAATGAATTGCTTGAAACTTGCAGCGCGCACATGCAGAAAAGATGAGCTTACAACTGTCTCCGCTAAGCACTTAAGGTACGCTGTTCAAAGAGAAAGAAAGGCGCCCGAAACAAACGTACAAGTATGCTCTGTTTGAGTATACTTGTGCTGCTGTTTGAGAGGTCGCTGGTTTGACATCGCACGAGAGGGCCTTCTAATGTCGTTATTTTCATTGCAATGTATTGGTACATACTTTACAACTTCATATCCGTGACGGAATTATGTCAGCGGAGGAGCCATGGTGGGCCCAAGCATAACACTTTTGTCTTAAAAATTAAGTGGACCATAGACCACCGTGAAGATGACATGAGGGTCATCCAACATTGTTGAGGCAGTACCGATAATACTAGAAACTTTCTGAAGCATTTACACTTGCAAAAGAAACCCATTGTACACTAGCGTAAGGGCTACCCAACATGCCTTCAGCAAATATTTTTAATGTTCATCGGCTATGCATAATGGCACATCTGTTGTCAGCCACTCAAATTAAGTTCATGCCCATATAGAAGTGACGAAATTTTCCCGCAACGGTATGCCACCGAAACGCTCTTAAGCACACATCGCAAAAATTACGACTTATTTCCACCGTGCTATGAAAACGAACCTATTTATGAGTGCGAAATCTACTGTGCAAAAATGAGATCATGAGCGATCGTACATGTTAAAACACTCTTATATTCCTAAATTAGTTATACAGAGTCGTGCAAGCCAGAGATGTTTTACGAAAAGAAAAACTTGCATGCACTCTTTTGAAGCAGAAAGCATCGATGTGCTTGGTCGAGGAGTTTGCAATCGCACTGGAACTGGCGATTCCGGATTGCCGCGCGGTCCTCAGTGACTCGAAGCAGGTTAACAGTCACCTTTGCTTCAAACAATCTCCAAGGAACCAACGAAAGACAATGTTCAACTAATAGCAAGACTGCAAACGTTGCCGTCGAGTGGTTTCCTGCGGCGGTGGAGCTGGACGCGCGCTCGAACCGCAACGAGGAGGGAGATGTGGAGGCATATGCACTAACTAGCCACGGGTCTTCGTCAACACATTCCTCGGAGCCGGTACGACCCGATGCCGATGATGAAGAGCATTCCATCACAAGTTACGGCGACCTTCTGCATATATACACTCTAAGGCAAAAGGGTGTTAAAAGGGTGTGTGGTTCGTCCTTTTGGGGACTAATGGGGCTGCTACAACCATTAATCCCTTTAGGAATGAACGGCACCAGGTTTAACAGTTAGTACCCTCAAGAGACTAACATTAAGTCCTCCCATTTACACCTTAGTGAGTAACTGTTAGTCTCACAGTTCACACCAAAATACTAATATTATTCCTCATATTTTCACCTTATAGAGCAACTGTTAATGCCCACATTTACACCTTACCGGGCAACCGTTAGTCCTCACAGGAGCGCCTTGCCGGACGAATGGTTGATCCTCTCAAATACTCCGATCGGATGAACTTTTTGTCCCCAGTACAAACATTGTTTTTGTTTATTTTGCGCCAGGCGTAATACTTTTTTCTCCTGTTTTTCTGCGCAGTGAGCAAAAAATTGCGCAAAAAAGAAAACGCGAAAAAGTAGTTAGCCATTTATGTGTAACTGCTTTCACAGTCACGGCAACAACGAAAGACAAAAGTGAGATATCGAAATCTTTCATTTTTCTACATACACATGAAGTTTCCCCATTCTTTTAAGTGAATTCAAGGTGAAGTGTACAAGTCCAGTCTCGCTGTCAAATCTTGTTCACTCCTTGGGGAGCTTCTCCGACGGAAGCGATAGAGGACAGGCATTGCAGACGCCAGCGCATGGAGCCTTCTGCCTGTTGTGTTCCCATGGCTGCACGTACAATAATACAATCAAAATAGTTAGGCACACGTCACAGAAGATGAAGATGCACGCATATTACAAGTGTGTGCACGTTAATATAAAAACAAGCGTTAAAATATGACACACAATAACTTTACTTTCACATCTCGCACAGTCCTTCTGAAGCTGCTTTGACGAAAGAGATGGATGACGGACATCACAGACGCCAGCGCACAGTCTTCAGCACGGTGTGTGACCATGGCTGCACAATAAGTATGTAAAATAGTGAGTCACACGTGACAGAGGATGAATACAAATGCAAATGAGAAATACGTGCAAGGCGAAATGAAAACAAGCATGAGATATGACATGCTAATAATTTCACCTGGATGTCACACATCGTCAAAGACTCATTTCGATTCCCGTCGCGCAACAGCTTAGGAGCGGCGACCGCAGTCACAACTCCGCACACCACCGTGCCGCTAACAAGTCGGCGAGTCCTGTGCGAGCGACGTCGTCCAGCTCGAGCAAGCGAACGCGAGACCAAACACGGCGCTGCACGTGGAGTGTCTGCCGCCAGCGAACTTTCGAACGGGAGAGCAAGCATACGCTTGGCCGCCGCCGCGAACAGCGCCGAGCTAGATTCGAGCTAGCGCCGAAGAAATCGACGGTAATGCGGCCCTTTTCCACAAACTGGAGCGAGTGCAGCGCGCAAACGCGAGTCCACCGCCGCGGCCAGCGGACGGTGCCAAGCTTCTTGCGACCGACTGGCGGGAAAACCAACTGTAATTGCGACCAATTTTCAGTGAGTTCCGACGCTAGCGAAAGCCTCGCCAGCCCGTGCTGGTACACTTACAGCGCGCGACATACTACAACCAAGCTTTTTACGAGAATTCGTAACGTGTTTTCGACGACTCCTAACACAGCGACGAGGTCTCAGCCAAATATCGTCAGCCCGAAGCTCATCGTGGTGGCGAAGACAGGCGAGCACTCGATGAGCGAGCGTAGGGGAGCCGACAGCAATGGCGGCCAATTTCCAGGTGGTCGAAAAACACAGGCAAACTGCAGACGGCGAAGCTGACCTTCGCGATGCATTCCGTGCGTGCGATATACAACACTACCGAGCCCGTGGCCGGCAAGCGCGATCCGTATCGCACACGCGACAAGTAGAGTAGAATAAAAAATGATAACCTACTTGCCTTAGAATCCAGCGCTGTTTTCTGCCCTAAGTCGAACTGAAGTATATATCTGATAGGCCTGTTCTTCTCGGCCACCATATTGGCCTTCCCAACTACTGCTGTCGTGTGTTGGTCGTGACTATCTTGAAGCCAGAGATATACAGCGCGAAGTGGTGACGTGTCGAGACTTGCTCCAGACTTCATGGGCGCAGCGAAACGCAAAAGTAGCAGCTCACGCTCATCCAAGCGTACACACAAGCACCATGTCGTAATTCTTAGATCGTCGAATTTAGGCGGCCGTGGTCGAGCACTCCAAGCGCGACAAAATACGGGGAAAGACTGAGCCAGCAGAGGAGGAGAGGGAGCCCTGGTCACCTTGGCAACTCTTCTCGCGCTGCCTGCAATGCCCGGGGTGTTCATCCCTTGGTTTCGCGCTCCACGCTTCCCTCTGTGGTTGTTCCTCAACGGTCTATTCATTAATCGCGCTCGCCTATTGGGATCCGTTACTCCCTTTTCGGTAATTTTGCCTTAGAGTGTACAGAACAAGCCGACGCTTTTACCCCCCGCCTCACTGAGACCTATAACGTAGTGAAGCAGGCACACTACGGCAGTTGCAAGTACAAGCCATATGTACCCCCGTCTGGGTAAAGCACGTCTTCCCCGAGGTATACTCCACAGATATATGACAACACCGTAAGAAGGCGCGAATCACACAGAGGCACCTTCTCTGAGACTGTGTGCCACCGCCGGGTAACCAAGAAGCAATGCCAACTAACATCAGCAGCAAAATTTGGAGCCAAGACCCAGTCAACCAATTAGACGTGGTACAGCACGTGCTTTGCATCTTGGAAAGCCAGCGGATGAAAACGGCGCCCTCACGGGTTTTAAGTGGATTGGTTGCTGCTCCGTGACGTCAGAGAAGCTAGAGTCTCGCTTAAATTCCCCTATCTCTGCTTCCGTTATGCCGGATCGACAATAAAGCTCTTTCACTCACCCACTGAATCAGAGTGCCACCAAAAAAAACCCACCGACTATTATGACGGTAGTGAGGCGTTTAATTCATGAAAAATGCATACTGACATATAGGTGTAGTATCCACTTCACTGAGACCGCTAGATATAAAAAATAAAGTTTCTTCTTCGACCTCCTGGTCATGGTTTTGAATAACGAAGCAGCGTCTGTTCAAAAAGGAAGCAGCGTCTGTGTTGTCTGATGTACAAAAGTGCTTACTTTTAAACGAATTCCTGTCGCACAAAACCAACAATGAGCTGTATACATCTTAAAATTCATTACTTGTTGCTTTGTCGACAAGACAAGAAGGCCGGGAAATGCACCGCACGTTTTGGTATGCTGCATTCAATGTCAAACCCATACCCTCCATACCCGAATGTATTAACTACTTAGCCACATACCCTTGCTCGCAAATAGCGAATCTATCTGAAACATACGGATGTGTTTCCACCGCATGCTCAACAATATCAGAACTGCGTGCCATTGATACCGTGATGCCACCTAAGACTGCTGATGCACAAGCAAGAACTCTTAAATGCATTCTTGCGTGCCCATATTATCGACCCTGCTTGAAGGGTGAAACGTTA